GGGTATTTATTCAGCCCTTCAGGTAAATACCCGATAAATACCCGGTAAATACCCGGTATTTATTCGGGTGGGTAAATATTGCCCATCACTAGTGGCATTACAGAGAATTTTTTTCACTTGAGAAAAACCTTTTTTCAGTAAAAGTGGTACATGAATTTTTTTAGCATGAAAACAAATTCACGTGTCGTTTATTCAGACAATATTTTTGTGGGGCACTTTTACTGAATTTTTTTTCAGGGGCTCTTCATTCTACAAAAAGAATTAGGTTTCATTATTCCGCTTGCCCATTCATTTGTTATTTTGTATAACATTGAGAAAGCAGCGGACAATTTTTAATTGCTTTTAATTTTATATAAAATATAGTCATGACAAAGCCAGCAAAAAACGCATCCGATGACGAAATTGCCAGATTCATAGCCAGACAAGACCTGAAAGGCAGCGGGAAAGACAATTTAGCAGAAAATCTGAAAGGTCCGACACCACCACCGTCACCATCATCATCCGATGAAGATTTATTTCCCGAGGCTTCTGACATTTCCGAAGAAGGGTCATCACGTACATATCGGCCATATGGTGAGTAGTTCTTGTGATTCATATGGTTAGCGACATTGCATAAATCATCCAAATATTAAAGATTCATAAGCCTTTTGGTCATAAAATGTTGTAACGATTTTTGTATGAAGCAATCTTTGGTTTGAAATGATTTTATGTCATGCAAAGAAGCCATATCTCAAGCGACAAAAAATATCTTCAATGGTTTAAAATTGCAAAAAAAAAATCACAAATCAATTGTTAATTACGTTGAAACTTTACATTTCTTTCAAAATTTAGATCAAACGGTGGTACTTGTCAACACAAACGATCAGAATAGAATGCGGAATTTCATTCTACACAATTTCCGTCCGAATGCCATAAATCGTGGTAGCGATTTTGTGCAACGAATCCGGGCACATTACCGCATTGTTGATGATGAAATTAATCGGAACGGCATAAGAGGTAAATTAATTTATAAATATTTCTCATTATTCACCGTCTAATCACAGACTGAATAGCATAATACAATTTGTACACATTCCATAAATTTACGCAAGCAGTGACACACCCCGAATCGGATCACCTAGCCACCAGCCCTAATGACTTCGAAGTGGCGTTCTGCGGCGACCGATTGTGTTCACCACCTCTAAACATATAGTTCCTCAAATACATTGTTGTCTAAATTTGCCACATTTCTAATGAATATTTGTCTCGATGCTGAGTCTAAAAACGTTTGTCTTACTTTATTGAAATACCTACACGCTAAAATAAACGGTTGGTTACGGGCGTAGTCAGTACCAAAAGTCTCAATTCCAACTAGATCTCTGTTTCTCACATTTCTTTGGTTCCTATTGTCTACTCGTCTAGTATATACAATTTTTTCCCTCAGTGCTGCGCTAATCAACTTTCCTAATAAGAGATCATAAATTAAAAATACTGAGGCATTTATACGCCGCCTCCAAAGCGGTTGAATATTCAAATTATCACATCTTAATTGGTACGATGGCAATCTGTAGTTAGCATCTCTTTGGTAAATTCCCCCAAGTGCCCAGATTACAAAGTCTTTCTGTACTGATTCAATTTTGTTAATGTATGACTGGTGATACGGATGCCACACTACACTAGCATACTCCAATTTCGATCGAACTAAGGCACAGTATAACAGTTTTGCTGATTCTATAGTAAACTTGTGTTTCAGTGTCCGCTTAATAAAACCTAATGCTCCGTAGGCGCTAGCTACTGTTGTATCGATGTGGTTGGCGAATGTGAGTTTCACGTCAAAAATGACCCCCAGGTCTCTGTGTAGCTCAACTCTACCAAACATGTGCTGCCCATTGTTTATCGTGTATTCATATCTTCGTACGGTGATGTTTTTAGCATACGTCATGACGAAACATTTCTTCAGATTAAGGTACAGCTTGTTGAGCATACACCATTCGTGCAATTGGTCAATGGCCATTTGGAATAAGCGGGCATCATTCGGTGACGTGATTCTCAAAATGAGTTTTAAATCATTTGCGAACAACAAAACAAAAGCATGAGTAACACGAACTGACAAAAATTGATCGAATCGGAAGAATTGGAATTTTTTTTCAAAATTTATAAGAATTCATTCATTATTTTCGTGAGAAATCCCCCTAGCTTTAATTGAAACAAAAATGTACGATACACTTCCAAGTCCATTGGAATGATGACTAATCCAAATGGTGGTTTTGGTTGTGACTTGATTTCGGAGTGAAAATTAAGTGGTAATTTTAATGTGCCGATGATACCAACCACACAAATTACTCTATTAGAATCTGAAAACATTTTTTTATAATTTTTTTTTCGATTTTTGCCTGTATTGCGACCGTCTACATGGCAGATTTGTATGAAAATCTCCGAGGTCAGACCGCGGCTGCAATTACACATTGATTTATACGGTAAAATCTACACATGGCCAGAACTCGCATTTCCGAGCAGAATTCCGCAAAAATAATGTGTCCATCGCCTCCAAAACGCTATGAATAAAACTGAGCCATCATTTCACCAGTTCCGTAGTGCCTATTCACTGGGATACCCAAAACTCATGCTATCTCGCTCACACTTACGTGCAATTTTTACGTGCATTGCAAGCCGTAATACAACAGCGTCTAACACTACTTGTTATCAAAAAAAACCGTCAAGAGGGTGTCAACAGTTCCCCATTGGAATGTCCATAAGAAAGCGCGCTCTCTACGGCAAATTTCGCCATTTTTCAACAAAAAGTGTGCAGTGCTATACGCATATATCGCAATTACTTTGCATAATCACGTAACTGCGCATGGGCGAATGAAAACTAAAATGCATTTTTCTCAAATTTTCAAATTTATTCGGTTCTTTTGTTGAACATCAAATGACAGGGGCAAAAAAAGAGACGGTATTCAGCTTTTTTAGGCGCTTGAAACCCCTTTTTTCGAGTCTATATTCTTCTCCTTTGATTACGTCTAACCTTTGGCTTCCGGATCCAATCGAGCAACGGTGCAATTGGTTGAAAAATAACTGGCTGATCAGGATAACGAATTATGGTCATGCCCACGAGTTTGTTATTCTTCTTCGAAATCATCGGTCCTCCAAACGTAGAGGGAGTTCCCATGCTTCCATCTAAAGTGTAACACATCAAATGATTTGCATCAAATAGGGGGTGCACTTTCGGTTTGCAAATGGCGCCATTCAAATACTTTGTATCATAACGTCTCGTTCTCTCTGCTCCATCCAATATCATATCACCATAGACAGAGACTACTTCGGACGGGTCATTCAATTTGTAATGTTTGTCCACCAAATCGATGCTGCCAACGTTCTCATTGAACTCCAACGGTTCTTTAAGTGTAATCTTGGCAACGTCAAATGTCCATCCCGACAAGTCGTATTTCTCATGAATTTCTATCTGGTCTTCAGTGACTTTAAGTTCTGTCGCATTTCTTGATAGTTTATTAACGGTTACATAGACATATGGGGCGCCGTGCACATGATGTGCACAGGTCAAAATCTCGGTTTCCGACAAAATGATTGCATCAAATTGTATTTGAACATCTTCGTCGGCATTGGCATATGCTTCCTTGGTGACAGTAAGAAATTCTGTAATAGAAAAATATCACAGGATGAGTATTGGTTTATGAATCATGAAAAATCACCTATTTTGCCGTCGATAGAAAAAAAAATGAAGATTAACCCTTTGACGACCAAGATTGAACGGATGGGAATTTTGCAATTCTGATCGCAGATTCGTGCTCAGCGACCCCAAAAACGATAATAAAAATCTTATCAAAAATTAATTTTTTTAATTAGAAATATAAAAACAATGATGGGACATATATGTCCTATTGGTCGGTAACGGTAACTACCTTTGTATGGAAAAAAAATATGTCTCCCATAAGAACTACGTGTAAAATCTTTTTCGTTTTTAAAATATTCAGAATTGTTTTGAACCGAAAATGGTTTGAATTGTGCTTTGTTGTGCCCATTTAATCACGAATTTAATGATATTTTTGTAAATTTTTGTGTTTGAAAATTCGCGAATAATGGCCAAAATACAGGGAAATACGGGGTATTTATTTACCTTTACCGACCAATGGGACACATATCTATTATTATATATCGCCAAACGCAATAAAAAGTGGAAAAAACGTTTTTTCTAAATAAAGTCGATGATTTTTGGAAAGTAACACATTTTTTCGCACATTATTCCAAATTTTCAGCTTTAAAAGTTCCACCGTTAAAATTATATAGCAATTGGCGAAAGTTGAAAAAAAAGTTAAGATTTTTTGACTTTAGAGTGTTCTATCCAATTGCGTTTACAATAAATATCCAATATTATGGTATTTTCTGATAGCTACATTAATTCTCTTCCAAACTTTACTAAAATTCTCTTTTTACTAAAATTGGTTAAAAAATGTAGTTATTACAGATGAAAAACAAAATGGGACATATGTGTCCCATTGGTCGTCAAAGGGTTAAAAGTGACGTTAGAAACCAGATAATAAATTGATTTAATTCAAATTTCAAATTAACACTTACTTCCAGGTACCGCTATATCGGCTATAAATTTAGCTTCGTTAGGTGTAAGCGAAGGTGGAATTGGTTTCACGCTCTGTAATAAAAGCAAAAATACATTTTGTTCGCGTTATTGAAATGCAAATTGGGGCATTGAGATTAGATCTAGGGGGATTTCTCACGAAAAAAAATGAATGAATTCTTATAAAGAACATCCAAGACAGTTTCCCAGTCGAAAAATATCCCGAAAGAGGTGCCGCATGTCAATAACAATGCGTAATCCACCCATCGAACACAAACACATATACAAATGCATCCTCACTCATTCCTACAATCGTGACGAATTGTGTGCTATGACTGAATGCTGTCACATCGCCGCTATTGCGATTGAATGTTTCTCAACAAATCAAAACATGTACGGCACCCGTTTATATGAATGATTACACGGACAACGATTCGCCACTCATTGCTACAGCTGACCGAATGCATCTTATGGTGTATGCGGTAGCTGCGTGTTGTTTGTAAACAAAATACCGTTATGTTCGATGCACAGAATGATGCGCGTTGCTTTTCAATAGATTTCAATATTTCATTTATCCATTGTCAATCGACAAGTGATGATGCACAAACGCAATAAATAAAATCACTCAAAATGGATTCGAACGACATTTTTAATCGAATAAATAGTGGTAATTTTTATTTCACTTGAAATCTCAAGCAATGTGATACGAAAAGCAATTTTTGGGATTCTCAATTACAGATCAGGGCTATAATACAGTCGGAATACGCTTGAATATTCCAAGATGTGCGGCTACAGAAGCTTGTTGCGTATTTCCATCTTGTTTGGAAACAAATATCAAACGGTTTCCACAAGCAATTAGAAAGTCCGTGATGATGAGTCACAAGTTTTATATTCCACCAAAAACTGCCGTATGCCATCATCATTTAAGCACTCCTAATTGGAATGAGCTAATTGAATTGCCATATCAATTCCATATGTATTCAAGGAAGATGATTGAGCACAAGTTCTAAAAAAATTGAAACTGAAGTGAGCGATGTCATGAGTGATAAAGATATCAAAAAGGCGACTGGCTTAACTCAAACTCAATTCAATACGATTTTGTACAAGTCACCATCACTATACAGATCGCTGCAAAGACGAGGTAGCTCAAATGACACCGAAGCACGAAAAATGGCCCATTTCGCTCTTAGATATTATCTTCGCCAACTGAGGACAGGTGAAACAAAGGAATCGCTAGCTCTGATCGAGAAAGTGTCTTTAGACACTCTTCGAAAATATATCAATGAAGCCAGGGAAGCATTGAAAAATGATTTCGTCCGTTATATCTCGGTAGTCAGAACCTTTCACGACAGTTCATCAATGACCACCCAACATTTATGGCCAGAGAGTTATATTGTGGCGGTGATTGCAGTTAATTGATTGTAGTTTGGGATGGAACATTTATCTATACCGATAAAAGTACTAATTATGAGTTCCAAAAGCAAACATATAGCGTTCAAAAGAAAAGGAATTTAATTAAACCTATGATGTGTGTTTCTACTGACGGAACAATTATAGATATATTTGGACCATATCAAGCTACTGACAATGATGACACAATAATCATGAAATTATTTAACTCTAATGATTTGTCACATATATTTAAGCCCGGTGATGTGTTCATTTTGGACAGAGGTTTCAGAGATGCCGTCAAGTTTTTGGAGGATAGGGGATTCGTAGTTAAAATGCCGAAACTTTTAAATACCAAAACAGAGAGTCAGTTTAAAACCAAAGAGGCAAACGAATCGAGAGTCGTTACGAAAGGTCGTTTTGTTGTTGAGGTTCGAAATGGAACCATGAAAGAATTTTGGCATTTATTCAATCAAATATGGGATACTTATTCGATTGAGCACTTTCACGATGATTTCCTCATTGGAGCTGCGATTATAAATGCATTCCTTAAAAAAATATTTCTGATAAGAATGATTCCGAAAATATAACAAATAGGATGCTTCAGTCCATTGATAAACCGAACATTTTGAAAAACGTTGTTGGATCTCGAATTTTTCAATTGAATCTGCCCAAGTTTCAAGCAGTGACATTCGATAGAAATGGTAAATCATCCATTCCAGACTTTTATTTTCCACAGCTAACCGAAGGAGACTTGAAACTTATATCTCTCGGAACATATCACATTAAAAATGCCACATCATATTATGCGCAGCATATACGAGATCATGATAACGAATTTTTAATTTTTGTTTGCTGCAACGATATTCGCGACCAACTCCTGAAAGGATTGAATATTGAAAACAATCCAAGCAATCTAAATTTTATTTTAACGCAAATTGACTCGCGTTTTAAAAGTCGTGTCTGCCACAATTCGGTCATCATTTACGACAATACATTGAAAGGTTCCGATTCTATCATTGCCTATTATTGTTCTTGTCAAGTTGGTGCGAGATCGCTTGGATGTTGTTCACATTCGATGATGGCTCTTTGGTATTTGGGCTACGCACGGCATCAGCCTTTAATTAGAGAGCCCGCCAAACACTTAGATAATTTCTTTGTGAACACTTAAGTAATGTATCTTTTGAACGATTTATGTGCAACGAAATTAATAAACTAAAAAAATATGTTTTGGCTACATAAATACAGTTAATGATTTTTTTCTAACGAATTATGAGCTCGCGCTCTCAAGCGACAGTAGAATTTGAAAAAAAATATTCGCAACATCGACATACAGTGTGTATCGAAACAAACACTCCAGCGGAACATGCTGTGAAGCATTTATGTATGTAGATTTCTTTTGCTACACACTGTTCGTCGCTGTTGCGTGCACATGCGCGGATCCCGAACACGAATACATGCACGCCTGCGAGAAACCAATCTCATACATGTTGGTGCGTGATACACTTTGGTGTAATGAACACAGACCTTGTGTCTGTGTGTTTGTGGATGTCTGTTTACTAAAATGAAACACCAATTGGAGCACTATAGCGACATCTGACAAGATATTTCCCACTGGGAAGAAATGAGTCGATTTTTAGGTGAAGTTTTTTTGGAAAATTGCTTCAATTCTTCCGATTCGATCAATTTTTGTCAATTTGTGTAAATAAATGTACATTTACACTGAACTTTTGAATTATGCTTCAATGAAATTGTTCTGAAAGTGGGTTTTGGTGGATCTCAAGGATCGTTCAGAACTGCTCCCGGTTCTGGGAGTGGATCTTCAGGATGGGCCAGGGCAATGTCAAACCGGATCTGGTCCATCCTGAGGATCCACCAAAACCCACTTCCAGAACACTTTTATTCAAGCGAAATCGTCATTTCAGTACATTTTCATACAATTTCAATAAAAAAGAAGAAATAATAGACATTTTTGAACATTTGCTCAAACTTTTTGTGTGAGAAATCCCCCTAGGATTAGATACCTTTGGATCATGGATAAAATCAAGGAATGATGCAATTGGGAGGAACATTCCGCGGCCACCTGTTGTTCCATTTATACCCGTAGTTATGCCCACGATTTTGCCATTTGTTTTTGAAACGACTGGTCCACCCGAATCACCATGTGTAATAATTTCGCCATCGTTCGTAGCTTCGCCAGTGGTAAAGTACAAAGTCTGATCTGCGTTGAATGTGATGGCCCGTTCGACAATAGATATATAGTTCGCATCGCAACGCCTCAATATCATTGGTAAATTCAACGCGCCATACCCATAGACAGTGACCACTTCTGATGGATCATTCAATTTATAATCCTTGTCCACGAGTTTGATACTGCCAACGGTATCGCTGAATTCTAACGGCTCTTCTAGTGTTAATTTGGCAATATCAAATGGACCGACTATTCCTGAATGACTATAATGAGGATGATATGCAAAGTTCTCTTTTTCCACTTTGATTTTAATTTTCTGATTTGCATCTGATACAACTTTCGTACCAGCTACCACATGAACATATGGGGCGTCATACACGCAATGGGCATTCGTGATGATTTCCGTTTTCGACAGAATAAATGCGGTACATGTAGTTACCATTTTTCTATTGGGATCATTTGGATGGTCTTTGTATTCATGCAAATATTTTGTAATAAAATCGTTTCATTCTCAGTACAAGCAATAATATTTAAAGAAAAAATGAACACACACACACAAAATTGCTAGGGGGAAACCGCGAATTCTTCATCTACAAAATTCGTTTCTATCATTCAGTATTAATACCATATGTATGTTGACTCAAATATTTGACTGAACCTATAATCCACTATGAACGATACTTTTGACCACCACAATGTGAAGAATTTTCTGACAGCAAACTGACAACGCACAATTGAAAGTTATCATTTGCAGTGAATCGTTTCTGGAGAAAGTTCGAAAAATGTCACAGTTGTAAATAATATATTGT